ACCATTGAAATCACCAACACAGGTCAGAGAATCAACAGTTAAAACACATGAAGAATATAAAGCACACACAGAAGAAAATGTCCATACATGTTGTAGAATGCTAAAGTGTCCTGATCATCACCAATCCTTTCTGTTGGACACTAACTGTCCAACAAGACCCTCCTGCATCCACAAGGAAAAACTCTTAAAAAACCCAGTGGGAAAAAGTGAGAAACCTTGGGGAGCACTAGGGAAACCCACAGGGAGGGAGACCCATATGAGAAAGGGATCCGCTCCTCCGGACGGACAGGCTAATGATCTAGGACCTAAGCTAGCTACAGAACGTGGACCAGTGGACGCTGAACGTGGACAGGTCCGGTGCTCAGAGGTACGTCGTACCATGAAAGACAATGGGACAACGGGTGAATAGCAATGAACAAACCTACAGTCAAAATCCTAATAATGCTAAACAGATAAAGTAGGAAGGAGGAGAGGATAGTGCTCAAGTTACCATACTTCTCCAGCAGGGGGCTCCCTATGCAGCTTGACTGACACTCTGAGGAGTTTAGCCTTCCCTTAGTCTTAAAGGAGCAATATGTAATATTTGCATGTCAAGTCATCATTAAATGACCCGAATATTTCAAAAGGCATTAATAAATCATACTCTTTTCAAACACATCTTTAACTGATAACAGTAGTTCATCCGAGATATTTGATTATCAAAATTAGTTTTACGACCCGTAAAAGTTGTTATTGTTTTGATTTTGATGTCCTACCCTCCGCCGTTTGGCCAATCAGGAAGTGTCATGTAAGTCCGTGATCGAGTTGCCAGAACTCCGCGCGGCTCATTAATCTCAGAGGTAAAATAACATGTGGCGTAGAACTAAAAAAGGTCTTGTTATGACTCAAATCATTAATGACAAAACAAAGACTAAAACGAGGATTTATATCGGGATGCCTTTGAACAATTGAGACAGCTGATAAAAGTTCACGTGTGATGCAGAATTTTCTAGTTTGATTCCGTTCTTCACGGTGTCTCATTCGTGTGAATCGATGGTGTAGTGGTCTAAGCTGCGCGCTTACGATGCAGGAACCCGGGTTCGATCCCGCGCTATGTATTTTTGTATTTATTGCATGTTATCACATTCTATGACAGATTGCTCTAAAAACGGTAAAAGATGAAGGTCAAGACGTTTTTTTCAGATTATAGCTTAATTGTAAAAATAATCATTTAAGACCACATGTACCCCAATTAAAATAACGTTAGTCTCTTTTTGATGTGGAACTTTTACATGTTTGTCTAAAAAATAGGGAATAAATAAAATTGAAAGGTGATATCCTCTTGAGCAAACCCTGATGTTGATACGCTGAAGAAATACGTTCCAACATCCATTCTTCCCACTCCTATTTTGGACATCAATTGCTTATTTATTTTGCATAAACTATGTATAATTACATTGCTTTTATTTTGTTTTTGTTTTTTATCTCAAATGTCCAAATAATAATAATAAAAAAACATGAATCAAAACATTCATTCAGCATTAGCACGGCTGTCATGGCAATGTGAATGGAGACGGACAAACAACTGATAAAATAATTCCCTGTGTTTGCTGCTGGATTTGGTGTGAATCTGGCAACCTGAGTCAGGGAGAGTGGGAGAGGACTACAAAATATTGACTGTGACTGCAGTACCACTTTTGGCCAGATTTTTACATATTGTGCCTTTAAGCCTGGTTCACACGACAGGATAATGAGGCCGATTTTGGACCCGATTTACAAAATCTGATGGATTTTCCGTGTGTGGTTAAGACTGTGGTCGTCGCTCTGAAGGACTTCGGGACTGCTCCAATCTCAATATCGGGGATAATAATAATAATAATAATACATTTTATTTGTGGGCGCCTTTCAAAATTCCCAAGGTCACCTTACAGGCAGCATAAAAACAATATACAACACACATTAAAATACAAAAGATACAATACAATACGAGGCCCAGAAGTAAAATACAGTAGAGTGGCAAAGAGATAAGAGAAGTACGGAGGATTATGTGGGATAGGTGCGTCTGAATAGCTCAGTTTTGAGTCGAGATTTAAATGTGGTGATGGAGTCTATTGCACGAGTGTCTTGTGAGAGATTATTCCAGAGTTTGGGGGCAGAGCGGCTGAAGGCTCTGAGGCCCATGGTGGACATTTTGGCTGGAGGGACAGAGAGTAGAGAGGCAGAGGAGGAGCGGAGTGGGCGGGAGGGTGTGTACGTCTGAAGGAGATCAGACAAGTATGGAGGTGCGAGGTTATGAAGTGCTTTGAAGGTGAGAAGAAGAATTTTGTATTCAATACGGGAGAGAATAGGTAACCAATGAAGCTGTTTGAGAATAGGAGTGATGTGCTGGGCAGAAGGAGTTTTGGTGATGATGCGTGCTGCTGTGTTCTGGACCATTTGAAGTTTATGGAGGGATTTGTTTGGTAAACCATAAAGGAGTGAGTTGCAATAATCAAGACGGGATGTGACCAGGGCATGAACCAGTGTAGCTGTGCTGTTAGGGGTGAGAGACGGACGTAGACGGTTGATGTTGCGGAGATGGAAGTAGGCGGACCGGGTGATGTTGTTTATGTGTGCTGTGAAGGAAAGGGTGCTGTCGAGGATGACACCCAGACTCTTAACCTGAGGGGAAGGGGGGATGGTGCAGTTATCAACAGTGATGGAAAGATTATTGGATTTAGTGAGTGTATGTTTGGATCCCACAAGGAGGAATTCTGTTTTATTACAGTTGAGTTTGAGGAAATTGTGGGAAAACCAGATTTTAATGTCATTAAGACAATCAGAGAGGGCTGAAGGGGGGAGAGTGATCGTGGGCTTGGAGGAGAGGTAGAGCTGGGTGTCATCCGCGTAACAGTGGAAGTTAATGTTGTATTTTCTGAATATATTGCCGAGAGGGAGGAGGTAGATAATAAAAAAGCAATGGCCCCAGGACAGAGCCCTGGGGCACACCGCCCGTGACAGTGGAGAGTTTCGATTTATGATTTTGGAGTTGGACAAATTGAGAACGGTCAGAAAGGTATGAGGTGAACCATGAGTGTACTGTATTGCATAAGCCAATGGAGGTGAGCCGGTTGAGGAGGATTGGATGTGAGATTGTGTCAAAAGCAGCTGTGAGATCCAGGAGAATGAGTATGGTGAGGAGTCCAGAGTCTGCTGCTAAAAGAAGGTCATTTGTTATTTTGATGAGTGCTGTTTCAGTGCTATGGGATGAACGAAATCCGGATTGGAATTTTTCATAAAGATTATTGTTTGCGAGATGATTTTGGATCTGTGAGGCAACTGACTTTTCCAAAATCTTGCTAATGAACGGGAGGTTGGATATTGGTCTAAAATTGTTGAAATCGGTCTGATCTGAGCCAGCTTTTTTGGGAATTGGCGTTATAACTGCTGTTTTGAGAATAGGTGGAACAGAACCAGTGGTGAGGGATGCATAAATTATGTTGGTAATGAGGGGAGAGAGCGATGGAAGACAGGATTTCACAAGATTAGTTGGCAGGGGATCAAGTATGCAGGTAGAAGATTTCGATTTGGATATCAGAGAGTGTATTTCCGGCACAGTTGGAAGTTGGAACGTGGAGAGAGTTGAGGGATTGGTCAGGAATAGGGATGAGCAGTGAGTGCAAACGGATGGATCACATGAAGAGAGTTGTTGATGGATATTAATTATTTTAGAATTGAAAAAGTCCAAGAATTTATTGCAAAGAGCGGGTGAGTGTGTGGTGGCAGTGGATGCGTCAGGTGGATGTAGAATGTTGCGCATAGAAGAGAAGAGTGCTCTGGAGTTGCCTGAATTGGTATTTATAATTGATGCAAGGTAGTTAGACTTAGTATTGGCAATAGTGTTCTTGTAAGTGATTAGATGGGAGTGATACATTTCCTTATGTATTGACAGTCCAGTTTTACGATATAGACGCTCAAGACGGCGACCAATAGATTTCAGTTCATGCAGCTCTTGAGTAAACCATGGCGAAGAGAGGGAGAAGGATACAGTTCTTGTTTTTAATGGTGCTAAGGAGTCCAGAATTTGATGGAGTTCATTATTATAAAATGAAGTGAGTTCCTGTGGAGTGACCATGTTTATCTCGGCTTGGGAGATTATTTAGTTCTGTGGTAAGTGATGAGAGATTAATGTTTTTTATATTTCTGAATGTGATCTGACGGGTAGAAGATGTTTTGAACAGTGGCAGGTTGAGACCAAATGAAATAAGCTTGTGGTCAGAGACCAGAATGTCCAGAAAAGAGATGTTAATGGGGGAGATGCCAGTGCAGCAAATCAGATCCAGAATATGGCCTTTTACATGTGTGGGAGAGTTTACGTGTTGAGATAATGAAAAACTTTCTAGACAGGAAGAAAAATCTTTGGTAGTTGTATTGTTTACATTGTCCATATGAATATTGAAGTCACCAACCAAAATTACATTTGAGGACAGAGAGCAGACTGTGGCTAAAAAATCTGTAAAATCAGTTAAAAACTCGGGATTAGGCTTGGGGGGACGATAGACAGCAGCTAGGATTGTGGGAATGCGGCCTTTGATCTGTATGACAAGTGATTCAAATGAGCTATAGACCGGTGTAGTGACTGCAGTTGCTCTGTACCTCTCGTTGTACACTATCGCGAGACCACCGCCGCGTCCAGAGGCACGGGCTTGACAGACGTAAACAAACCCATGTGGTGTTGTAGCGTTGAGCTCAGCGTACTCGTTAGGACGTTGCCATGTCTCAGACAGACAAAGAAAATCAAGTTTGTGGTCCGTGAGGAGATCGCGAACAAGATAGCCCTTGTTACTGAGAGACCTGATGTTCAACTGTCCCACGGAGACGAGGTGGTCACCGGCTCTATCGCTCCCTTCCTTTGCTAGCCGGGCTAGCAGGCTGTGATCCACAGTCCGCCTGCCAGGCTTCCTCGCCGGACGGCGAAAGGAAGACCACGTAGAAGGTATCGGGTTCGTCGTGTCAATGCAGTTGATTCTTCTGGATCCCCGATGGACGTATTTTCGCCGCGGAGGCCAGGCGATGTCCAGATGCTGGAGTATTGCAGGGGGCGGCGCATGGTAACGGGGGAGACGAAGCTGAAGAAGTTCTGCTGCACAGTACCGCAAGGACAGGTACGCAGGCTGGATTATGGAGAGCAGAACCAAGCCTCCGAGGAGAGCCCAGAGGATAGCAGCATTCCAGTTCATGATGCCCCACAGCAACAGGGTGACCGGGAAGCTAGCAGTTAGCCCAGGTAGCCAACAGATGACCAGTGACAGGTAAGGAGATCGCCGACCATAAATGAAAGAATATCAGGCGTAAACTTGTCCAGATGCTGTAGTTGTTATATGTCAGTTTTACGAGTTGAAAACACAACAAGCCGGAATAAATAAATCACAGTTTGTGGGGGAGGGAGCAGCGGCAACAATCATGCCAGCGTTCACTTCCACTCCCCGGCATTGCCGGGGAGTGGATATCCAACATGTTGGATTGTTTTGGCCCGATTTCTCTTCGTGTGTGGTGTCCCCCGGGGACAGACGAGCGCGTTGCCATGACTGCGGCGTGTAGCCAATCAGAAGACGAGCCGGCGAGGAAACACCGTAAAACAAACAAAACAGTCAGCGGCATGGCGCACCAGAAAGTTTGGTGGACATCAGAGATGGAGGAACAACTAGTTGACCTCTGGAAACACCGTGAATGTATGTCTGACGTGTTGTGTAAAGAATATCATCACCGAAATGACAAGGAGAGGAATGGGGCAGAAATGGCTGCTGCACAGGTAGTGTTGGCATCAGCCCTGTTCGGACGGGATTAGAACTAACTGATCAGACTGATGGTTGTGTTTGTACGTTTACTTTGCACTCTGTCCTAATACAGTACAGACGTGTTGATGCAGCCGTTACTGCAGCCGTGCTTGTTGGTTTGCGCGTATGTAAAGTTTCATGTGTAGCAGTGTGTGTGATGCGTTCACAGGTCGTCCGTACAAACTGTATTGTTGAACAGCACAGACAGCACGGGCCAGAGAACTGTAGAGCAGTAAAATCCACATGTGTTTGTCCTCATGGTGTCTGTGGCTGCTGTGGTCAGACCAGAGTCTCTATAGGCTGCTGTGGTCAGACCAGAGTCTCTATAGGCTGCTGTGGTCAGACCAGAGTCTCTATAGGCTGCTGTGGTCAGACCAGAGTCTCTATAGGCTGCTGTGGTCAGACCAGAGTCTCTATAGGCTGCTGTGGTCAGACCAGAGTCTCTATAGGCTGCTGTGGTCAGACCAGAGTCTCTATAGGCTGCTGTGGTCAGACCAGAGTCTCTGTAGGCTGCTGTGGTCAGACCAGAGTCTCTATAGGCTGCTGTGGTCAGACCAGAGTCTCTATAGGCTGCTGTGGTCAGACCAGAGTCTCTATGGGCTGCGTGAAGCAGAGAGGCCTGCACACTCTGTTTACTCTGAAGTCACACTTGATCTCGAGAGATGTTGTGAGATTTCCGGTGACCTGTGAATGCTCGGGGGTGAAATCAGTTCGTGTCTGATGTGTGTGGTTTGCATGATTTTGCCGTGTGGCTGCGCACCACACACTGCACGACCAAAGTGGTTTGACCCCTGATTTTTTATCTCCGTGTGTGGGGTCTCTCACTGAGAAAAAAAAATTGTCCGACAATTTTAAAATCGTCTCGTGTGAACCAGGCTTTACCTTCCGAGCCATATGCTAAACTAAAGAGGACTGTTTTAAACCTAGCCTTGAATAAAGAGAGCGTATCTGAAAGGAGGCGAGACAGCAGCAGCCACGGCTAGGCTAGGCTAGGCTACAGCACCAAGATTCATGGACTGCACACCAGGTGTGCAAACCGATCCAGGCTAACCTAATTATATATTACATATACCATATATAATACATAATATACAGCATAATATATAGCAGTACCACAGCGCCCCCTGTGGCCATGGGTGGGACAGCTGTAAGCTAGTAATACTCTATCCAGTTATTATTATAGATCCATGATTCAGCACCAGTTGTGCATGTTCTCCACTTAAAAAGACGAGGGAGCCCTGTAATTTCCATCATAGATAAACCTTAACTATTAGAGACAGAATGAGAAAAAAAAAATCCAGAACATTGTCTGATTGTTAAAGAATTTATTTGCAAACGATAGTGGAAAATAAGTATCACCAAACTCTCACAGACTGAAGCTCCTTCAAGAGTCTGTCTCCACTCGTTCCTGTAATAAACCTGTTTGAACTTGTTATCGGTCTGAAAGACACCTGTCCACAACCTCCAACACTCACACTCCACTAAGACCAAAGAGCTGGACACCAGAAACATTGTAGACCTGCACCAGGCTGGGAAGACTGACCTGCAGTAGGACCTGTGGGAGCGATTATTAGAAAATAATAATATAATCTCCCTTTATCTGGGACTGCACCAAAACTGGACCAAACAAAGTCAAACACATTGTTTTAAATTTAACCTCTAATGATGTGTTGGTAAAGATTTATAGAATACATTAAATCTGGTTGTTTTCCTGAGAACAGAAGTATAACCTGCCATGGTCGCCCATTACGTCAATGCTGCAAGTTCATAATTAAAAATCATTTTAGGGGACACTAAAAAGTTTGGCCCACGAGCCGGATTATGACATGTCTGATTAAAGCGTTTGTTTACAACTGAAGGAGGAGAGCTGAGTTTGGATCAGAGTATGTTTTTAGAGCAGAAAAGGGCTCCTATGTCGCTGTCGTCGTGTTTTGCAATTGTTATTTCTCTTGCTTTTTCTGCAGTTCAGTGTTCATGGTTTTACACTGGTCCAGACCAGAGCCGAGAGGATTCATGGTTTTACACTGGTCCAGACCAGAGCAGAGAGGATTCATGGTTTTACACTGGTCCAGACCAGAGCAGAGAGGATTCATGGTTTTACACTGGTCCAGACCAGAGCAGAGAGGATTCATGGTTTTACACTGGTCCAGACCAGAGCAGAGAGGATTCATGGTTTTACACTGGTCCAGACCAGAGCAGAGAGGATTCATGGTTTTACACTGGTCCAGACCAGAGCAGAGAGGATTCATGGTTTTACACTGGTCCAGACCAGAGCAGAGAGGATTCATGGTTTTACACTGGTCCAGGCCAGAGCAGAGAGGATTCATGGTTTTACACTGGTCCAGACCAGAGCAGAGAGGATTCATGGTTTTACACTGGTCCAGACCAGAGCAGAGAGGATTCATGGTTTTACACTGGTCCAGACCAGAGCAGAGAGGATTCATGGTTTTACACTGGTCCAGACCAGAGCAGAGAGGATTCATGGTTTTACACTGGTCCAGACCAGAGCAGAGAGGATTCATGGTTTCACACTGGTCCAGACCAGAGCAGAGAGGATTCATGGTTTTACACTGGTCCAGACCAGAGCAGAGAGGATTCATGGTTTTACACTGGTCCAGACCAGAGCAGAGAGGATTCATGGTTTTACACTGGTCCAGACCAGAGCAGAGAGGATTCATGGTTTTACACTGGTCCAGACCAGAGCAGAGAGGATTCATGGTTTTACACTGGTCCAGACCAGAGCAGAGAGGATTCATGGTTTTACACTGGTCCAAACCAGAGCCGAGAGGATTCATGGTTTTACACTGGTCCAGACCAGAGCAGAGAGGATTCATGGTTTTACACTGGTCCAGACCAGAGCAGAGAGGATTCATGGTTTTACACTGGTCCAGACCAGAGCAGAGAGGATTCCAGGAGCCAAACCCACCTCTGCTGCTACTATTGTTTTCTAATTTTAGAATGATCATTTGTTTGTTTGGATGTGTTTCTGCTGATTTTCTCCAACAGGATCAATAAAGTATCTTTTACAAATAAAATGGAAATACTGTGGTTTTATTCTAACAACTGAAGGACAGAGTGGATCTGAGTTTGTGCCTGCAGGAGCGACACTTGGAGATTAAGGTTTTGCTCTCAGTCCCCTCTGCTCCTCTCCCTCTGCTCCTCTCCCTCTGCTCCTCTCTCTCTGCTCCTCTCTCTCTGCTCCTCTCTCTCTGCTCCTCTCTCTCTGCTCCTCTCTCTCTGCTCCTCTCTCTCTGCTCCTCTCTCTCTGCTCCTCTCTCTCTGCTCCTCTCCCTCTGCTCCTCTCCCTCTGCTCCTCTCCCTCTGCTCCTCTCCCTCTGCTCCTCTCCCTCTGCTCCTCTCTCTCTGCTCCTCTCTCTCTGCTCCTCTCTCTCTGCTCCTCTCCCTCTGCTCCTCTCCCTCTGCTCCTCTCCCTCTGCTCCTCTCCCTCTGCTCCTCTCCCTCTGCTCCTCTCTCTTCAGCCTCTGACAGATCAACACAGGCAGAGGCATAATTAAGGAGGCGTGGGAGAGACAGCTGGACCCACTTCCTGGTCAAGGAGGCGCCTCTCGGTCCAAAACCAGTCAAATTAGAGGTTATTGAGCGTTTTAATGTTTTCAAATATGTAAGAACAGTAAAAGTCCGTCAGCAGAGAGTCCGTCAGGAGAAAGGCCGTCGCAGCAGAAAGCCCTGGAGCTGTTTGATCTTATTTTCCGACGGCAGAATCAAACCCAGCTTCCCTTTGTCCTCCGCCTCCAGCAGCGCCTCGATGTAGCAGGAGGAGCCCAGCAGGAGGTGTCCTGTGGCCTGCATGGAGAAGATGGTCCAGCGCAGCGCCTCCCTGAAACAGACCAACATTAAACATTATCACTGAGGAGAGAGAACGATGCAACATTTACTCCTGGATAAACACAGATTACATACTTTATTACTTTATTAGACATGGACACAACAGTTCCATTGGACAGACCAGCGCTCTGCATCAAGTGTATAACGTTTACTTTTGAACGTTCTGGAAACAGCAGCGAGTTCCAAGTGACTCTGAATCAGTTTTGTGTTTTACAATTGTTTTTTTCTTGTATTTCTCTGTAAATGTAACTGCAGTTAGTGTTGATGGTTTTACACTGATCCAGACCAGAGCAGAGACGATGGTCCTGAACATGACTGTAAATATAAACAGACGTAGTGACGCCATCTGCTCCGTTGAAATGTGTGATCAACTTGAACCTCTTCAAAATGGCCGCAAGTAGCCCCTCCCTCAAGAAAACATTTGTGCACGTGTTAGATCCAGTCTGACACCATCCATCCATCCATTTTCTTCCCCTTAATCCATTTCTGGGTTGGGGGGGTGGCAGTCAGAGCTGCACCCAGTACACAGAGCACCAGCCCCTCACTGATCCTCCTGCAGGTGGTGAGTCCACAGGAGCTGAGATCTTTCAGTGGGGGCTTCGGGCAAAGTGGGGTTAAGTGTCTTGCCCAAGGATACAACGACAGCAGTCATCAGTGAGAGTCGTGAAGTAGGTCTTGAACCCACGACCTTCAGGCTCAAAGGCCAATGCTCTACCAACTGAGCTACTGTTGCCCCTCTGACACATGGATGAAAAAACATGTTCTAAAGTCCACAGCGGCTAAACTCGACTGGTCCAAAAAACAATCCTTTCCTCAGCTTAGACAGGATCTGGGACCAAGAGTCACTTTTGGACCAAGAGAGACTTTTGGACCAAGAGTCACTTTTGGACCGAGAGTCACTTTTGGACCGAGAGTCACTTTTGGACCGAGAGTCACTTTTGGACCAAGAGTCACTTTTGGACCAAGAGTCACTTTGGACCAAGAGTCACTTTTGGACCAAGAGTCACTTTTGGACCAAGAGAGACTTTTGGACCAAGAGTCACTTTTGGACCAAGAGTCACTTTTGGACCAAGAGAGACTTTTGGACCAAGAGTCACTTTTGGACCGAGAGTCACTTTTGGACCGAGAGTCACTTTTGGACCAAGAGTCACTTTTGGACCAAGAGTCACTTTTGGACCGAGAGTCACTTTTGGACCAAGAGTCACTTTTGGACCAAGAGTCACTTTTGGACCAAGAGTCACTTTTGGACCAAGAGAGACTTTTGGACCAAGAGTCACTTTTGGACCGAGAGTCACTTTTGGACCGAGAGTCACTTTTGGACCAAGAGTCACTTTTGGACCAAGAGAGACTTTTGGACCAAGAGTCACTTTTGGACCGAGAGTCACTTTTGGACCGAGAGTCACTTTTGGACCAAGAGTCACTTTTGGACCAAGAGAGACTTTTGGACCAAGAGCCCCTTATGGACCCGCTCTGAAGATGTTTGAGAGGAAAAAAGGCGCCATACGAATTCATTGAATGATTCTTTTTCCGGGTACACCCCCACCGGCAAGGAGCCAGAAGCACGTCAGCGCACATACTGGTCCCAACCAAGCAGATAAAGTAGAAAACCAGGGGAGGAAATCTATTTTTTTGAATAACGGTGACAAAGCAGAGAAAATGGTCTGAACCAAGCACACTCTGCACACAGCGGCGACACCTCCTGCTGCTGCACTTTATTACTATTGTTAGAACTTTTAGAATTATGTTTTTATTTGTTTGTCACCTGCATTTCTCCTACGGGGATCAATAAAGTAGCTTTTCCGGATCTGCCAAAAATAATCCACTAAACTGTAATCGTTTAGTTCCGTCGTTTCACCGCAGCGAAAACAAACAAGGATTCTATCATAATGGACGAGTTTAAACATTTTAAACCTAAAAAGCAGAGAGTACAAAGGCCACGGTCAGAGCTTCACTCACCCAAACACAGCTCCACGGCTCGTTACGCTGCCATTATGTCATTTGTGTGTAGGTGGAGACACAGGTTTTCGGACCAAACATCAGTGCTTCTGCTCAGTGGGAGTTCATTCAATAATTCACATAAAACAAAGCGGCGTGAGTTTGTGAGACATCAGACTCTCTCG